GGGCGAGAGCGGGTGCGGGCGCTGACGACATCCCCGTCTCACCCGGGCCTCGGGGAGGACTTCGGGCCGCGCAGAGCTCGAAGACTTGCACAGTATGACCAAAAGCCCCTCCCTGCCTTCTCTAAGTAGCTCAGCCTGTGTTTCTGTGGCCGGAAAGTTGCAGTTCTCCCCACTCGAGGCCACCAAAGTCAGAAAAGTGCTGCAAATGGGACTCCCAGAGGCCAGGCTGAAGCTGCCACACTGGCTGGAATGGGCCACCTTGGAGGGGGACGTGGGAATTCATTCCAAGGGACGGGGGTTTCTTTCAAAGAGCATGTTGCCTGCTTACAAAGGAGGCTGGCTCTGAAGCCGTCATCTGGAGTCTGTAGTGAAGGCCTTTTGTTAGGGAAACTGGATGGTTCGTGTTCAAAATCCATTTTGCGTGTGTGCAAGGATACAGGTGGTATTAAACAGAAGAGAAAATCAGATGACTGTGAAATTTTCAATACTAAATAAGATGATTTTTAGTTTTTCTAGGGGCACTATTTATTTGTGACCACAATGAAAAATGTAGACAGTGATGATCTGGTAACTGGCGCACTTCCCAAGCTCAAGAGCTCAAAAGAATGGTTGGAGCCCAAGCCTCTATGTTTTATGGAGGTATATAACAAATAGTGTGGGATTTGGAGATTTTTTTACTTGGGTCGTTGCAGTGGGAAGTGACTTGTGCTAAATATATTGTTTTTTCTATTGTTTGTTTTTATTTCATTCTGTTTATTATTCCCTTCACTTTACTAACTTTGTATATTCACTTTGCTGTTTTTTTCCTGACATCTTAAGGTGGAATCATAGGTCATTGATTATATACCTTTTTAAATGTAGCATAGCTGTAAGTTTCTCTTGAGGTACTGCCTTAACTGCATCACCCAAATTTTGATATGATGTATGTATGTATGTATTTATTTATATTTGAGGTAGGGTCTTGCTATGTTGCCTAAGCTGGAGTGCAATGGCACGATCATGACTCACTGCAATCCCCGCCTCCTGGAATCAAGCCATCCTTCCACTTCCTAGTAGCTGAAACTATAGTCGCACACCACCATGTCTGGCTAATTTTTATATTTCCTGTAGAGATGGGATCTCATTGTGTTGCCTAGACTGATCTCCAACTCTTGAGCTGAAGCAATCCACCTACCTTGGTGTTCTAAAATGCTGGGATTATAGCTGTGAGCCCTTGTGTCCAGCGAGTTATTGTTTTTAGATTGTAGTTTCTTTTTTCTAAACAGCTTTAGTAAGATATAATTGATATACAGTAAACTGCATATATTTAAAGTGTGCTGTCTGGTACTGTGGCTCATGCCTGTAATCCCAGCACGTTGAGAGGCTGGGGTGGGAGGATCGCTTGAGCCCAGGAGTCCTGGACCAGGCAAAGCAATATACTGAGACCCTGTCTCCACAAACGAACAAACAATAATAGCCAGGTGTGGTAGCATACACCTATAGTCCCAGCTGCTTGAGAGGCTGAGGCAGGAGGAGCGCTTGACCCCAGGAGTTTGAGGCTGCAGTCAGCTGTGATTGTGCCACTGCATCCCCGCCTGGGTGACAGAATAAGACCCTGTCTCAAATAAAGTATACAAACTTGGTAAGTTTTGACATGTATACACACGAAAACATCACCACAATCAAGATGGTGAACATACTCAGTACTCCCAAAGCTTCCTGACTATTCTGTTGTAATTCCTCCCTCTCTCACATCTCCCCACCACTGCTTTTCTTTCTTTCTTTTTCTCTTTCTCTTTCTCTCTTTCATTCTTTTTCTCTTTTTCCTTTTCTTTTCTTTATTTTGCCCTGTCACTCAGCCAGGAATGCACTGGCGTGATCTCAGCTCAGTGCAACCTCCACCTCCCAGGTTCAAACGATCCTCCTACCTCAGCCTCCCGAGTAGCTAGGATTACAGGCCTGTGCCACCACACCTGGCTAATTTTTTTGGATTTTTAGTAGAGATGGGGTTTCACCATGTTGGCCAGGCTAGTCTCAAACTCCTGACCTCAAGTGATCTGCCCTCCGCGGCCTCCCAAAGTGCTGAGATTATAGGTATGAGCCACCGTACCCAGCCTGCTTTGCTTTCTGTCACTGTAGTTTAGTTTGCGTTTAAAAAATTGTATACAAATGGAATCTTCCAGTATATATTTCTTTTCCTTCTGTTTGGTTTCTTTCACTCATCACAATTATTTTGCGCCTCACCCATGTTGTATGTATCAATATTTCATTCCTTTTTTGGTTGAATGCTATTCCCTTATATGGATATATCCCAATTTGTTCATCCTGTTTATGGACATTTGGGTTGTTTCCAGTTTGGGGCTATTACAAATAAAGCTGTTATGAACATTCATGTGTGTGTCTTAGATGGACATATGCTTTCATTTCTCTTGGGTAGATATTTAGTTGTGGAATGACTGGGTCATATGGTAAATGAATTTTAACTTTTTATGAAGCTGCCAAACTAGTTTCCAAAGTCATTGAATTATTTTGCATAACCACTAGTAGTGTGTGAGAGTTCCAGTTGTTTCATAATCTAGCCAACATTTGGAATAGTTTTATTTACTTACTTATTGTATGGCCTTTTAAACTCAAGACATTTTCAAAAGATGTATAGTGACATCTCATTGTGGTTTTAATTTGCATTTCCTTAATGACTAATGATGAGCATCTTTTCAAGTCTTACTTGCCATTTATCTGTCTTCTTCTTAGGCGAAGTGTTTGTTCAAATCTTTCGCGCACTTTAAAATTGGCAATTTTAGGTTGGGTGGTTTGTATTCTTATTGTTGGACTCTTCTTATTGAGATATAGTTTATATGCCATAAGATTCACTACTTTTTTTTTTTTTTTTTTTTGAGGCGGAGTCTTGCTCTGTCGCCTAGACTGGAGTGCAGTGGTATGATCTCGGCTCACTGCAAGCTCCGCTTCCCAGGTTCACGCCATTCTCCCGCCTCAGCCTCCCAAGTAGCTGGGATGACAGGAGCCCACCACCAAGCCCAGCTAATTTTTGTTTTTGTATTTTTACAAAAAAAGGTAGAGAGGGGGTTTCACTGTGTTAGCCAGGATGGTCTCTATCTCCTGACTTAGTGATCTGCCTGCCTCAGCCTCCCCAAGTGCTGGGAATACAGGCATAAGCCACGTGCCTGGCCAAGATTCACTAAAGTGTACAATTCAGTGTTTTTTATTTTTTAAAAATTCAGAATTTTTATTTTCAGTGTTTTTTAGTATATTCCCCAATATGTGCAACTGTCACCACTATCTAATTCCAGAACATTTAATCACTCCCAAAAAGAAACCTCACACCTTTTAGCAGTCACTCCCCATTCCCCTCCCTCTCTGGCTGCTGGCAACACTCATCTACTTCCTGTCTAAACAGATTTGTCTACTCTGGACATTTTATACAAATGGAATCATGTAGTCCTTAGTGACTGCTTTCACTTAGTATAATGTTTTCAAGGTTCCTCCATGTCATAGCATAAGCAGTACTTTATTCCTTTTGATGGCCAAATAATATTCCATTGTCTGAGTATCACATTTTGTTTATCCCTTCATCAGTGGATGGACATTTGGGTTGTTTCTGTTTTTTGCTATTATGAATAATGCTGCTATGAACATTTGTGTATAACTTTTTAGGTAACATATGATTGCAGTTCTCTTGGGTATGTAACCTAGGAGTGGAATTGTTGGGTCATATGGTAACTATGTTTAACTTTTTGAGGAACTGCTGAACTGTTTCCCACAGCAGTGATACCGTTTTAAATTTTTATAGCAATGTGTGAAAGTTACAATTTCTCCACTGCTCAGAGTTCGTTGAACTGCTTGTATCTGTGGGTTTATAGTTTCTGATAAATCTGTACATTTTTCAGCCATTCTTTCTTTCTTTTTTTTTTTTTCAAGTGAGTCTCACTCTGTCACCCAGGTTGGAGTGCAGTGGCATGATCACTCCAACCTCCGCCTCCTGGGTTCAAGTGATTCTTGTGCCTAAGCCTCCTGAGTAGCTAGGATTACAGATGTGCACCACCATGCCTGGCTAATTTTTGTATTTTTAGAAGAGACGAGGTTTCACCATGTTGGCCAGGCTGGTCTTGAACTCCTGACCTCAAGTGATCCACCTGCCTTGGCCTCCCAAAGTGATGGAATTACGGGCATGAGCCACCATGCCTGGCCTATTTCTTAAAATATTTTTTCTATTCCATCTACTCCATCTTTTGGGAAATACAACTGTATGTACAATAACCTGCTTGAAGTCCTGTAGCTCACTTATATTCTGGTTGTTTTCTTCAGTTTTTCCCCCGTGCATTTCATTTTGGAAAGCTTCTGTTGCTATGCTTTTAAGTTCACTAACTTTCTGTAATGTCTAATCTGCTAATAAACCTACCTAGCATATTTTTCATCTCAAGTATTATAATTTTCATCCATAGAAGGTTTATCTGGATCCTTTTGTTGCTGTCTTTGTTTGTTGCTGCTGCTGTTGTTGAGACAGGATCTCGCTATATAGCCCAGTCTGGTCTTGAATTCCTAGCCTCAAGTGAGCCTCCTACCTTGGCCTTCCAAAGCACTGGGATTACAGGTGTGAGCCATCATACCTGGCACTTAGTTCTTTTTCAAACATTTTCTTCTGTCTCAACATGTCTACTCTTCCTCTAGCTTCCTTAACTTATGAACTACAGGAATAATAATGATTTTAATGTCCTGGTATAATAATTATAGTGTCTTTGTCATTTTGGGGACAGTTTTGGTTAATTTTCCTTATTATTATTGGTTAAATTTTCCTATTTCTTTGTATACCTGGTGATTATTGGTTAAATTTTCCTATTTCTTTGTATGCCTGGTGATTTTTGATTGAATGCAAGACTGAATTTTAACCATGTTGAGTGCCAGATATTTTTGGTTTGCCATAAATATTCTTTTTTTTTTTAAGTACAAGTGCACAGATTTCCCATAAATATTCTTCATTTTTCCCCTCGGATTCAGTTAAGTTACTTGGACACAGCAGGATTCTTTCAGGTCTTGCCTCCGAAGTTTTGCTAGGCAGGACCACAGCAGTGTCTGCCGTAGGGCCAATTTTGTTTCAGTACTGATACAAAACCTTTCCAAATACTCTACTCTATGCACTACGAACTATGGGATTTTTTTTCCTCTGGCTGATGCTAAAGGGAACGAATACTCCTGGGACTGTGTGACCTCTCGGGATTGATTCCTTAATTCTTGCAGGTGTTTCTTTGCCCATTGTTCCTTTGGGTATTTTTCTCACAGGCATATAGTGTTTACCATCAGCTGAAGACTCAAGGGGACCTCTGCGGACTTGACTCTGCAGATCTCCAGAGCTCCATTCTTGTAGCCTTCCTCCCTCTAGTACTCTAACCTATGAACTCCAACTGCTCTGGCCGCTCCAGATTCCCATCCCTACTCCTCAATTCAGGCAGACAGCTGGGCTGTTTGTTTTCTGTTTCTCAGGGGCCAGGAGCCACTGTTCTTCTTTGCCTGATGTTCGATATCTTGGAAACTGTTGTTTCATCTATTTTATCTTTTTTTTAAAGTTGTTTCAGGTGGGAGAGTAAGTCTGTTTCCTGTTACTCTGTCTTGTCCAAAAGTGAAAGTTCTCATCCAGACATTATTTT